TAAAGAGTATTGTTGCTGTTTGGTGGGATAAATTTATTGTTCAGAGACAGAGGGAAAGAAGAAGCTATTTTGAACTTGGCGAAGAATGAAACAATTGATGCTTGAGTGGTTTTTAGCAGAGGATTGTGAACATATATTGTTTATAAGATGTATATTGAATGTATTTAGGAAAAGTGAATTGTGATAGAATACACATTTGAGTTTCTGCGTCTTTCTAAGTGTAATGAATTGGCAGAATCAGATAGCTAAAAAGTGGTTTGTTACATCAGTGGCTTAAAGGGATCCTTACAGGAGAAGATGAGTTTACAAATTGTATGGATTGTGGTTGATGCATACAGTGAGGCTGAATTGATGGAGAAATCCCCTTGAAATTTTTCACCTTTTAGGTATTTGCCCCAGAATAATGTTGAATCAGTAGGCGACAAGGAAAAGAATGCATCAACCAGGAATTCCAACTTTGAGAATAATATACTAGCAGCCCTTGCGGTGATCAGCAAGATAAAGCACCGGTTCAAAGGCAGAATATTTCATATACTAAACCCACTAGAGATGCATGTTATTGTTGTAATCGAAGATGTCACAAATCAAATTTTTGTCCAACAAAGAGAGTCGTTGATATTGCAGAAGAAATGGAAGAGGAATAGGAAAGAGTATGACATGAAGTTGATAACGATGAATATGCATGGGTTGAGTTTTTAGAGGAAGAATCTGATGAAAGGATAAATTTTGTACGGCAGAAAATTTTACTAAAGATGAAGAACAACACAAGAACTTATTTAAAACACATTGTTTTATCAAGAATAATGTATGTAATCTAATTATGGATAGTGGTAGCATGGAGAATCTGTAATCACGGAAATTGATAGATTATTTGAAGTTGTCCATATAATTCCATAAGAAGCCATACACCCTCGATTGAGTAAACAAGGGCTCCAAAGTTGGAGTAACACTAGCCTGTAGAGTTCTCATCTCCATCAAAAAGAATTACAGAGAAGAGGTATTTTGTGATGTTCTTGATATGGATGCTTATCATATTTTACTTGGTAGAACTTGATAGTTTAATAATGATATCACTTATCGAGGACGGGATAACGTGATAATGTTTACATGGAACACACATAAAATTATTATGACTTCTGTTTTACATTTTGCTTAAAATTCAAGAAGAAAGTAGTCTAGTTTCTTTGTGGTGACATAGAGTGAAAAGGAGTTTGATGAGGTTGTTAAAGAAACTGAACATTTCTTTCAAGTGGCGAGTAAAGGGATGATGAGTGTTATAAAGCAGAAACAACAATTTCAGAAGAAGTGCTAGGGATCCTAGAGGATTTCAAAGAATTGACCGCATATGAGCTACCAAACGATTTGCCTCATATGTGAGATAAACGTCGAAAAGTTAAAGCTTTCAATATAAAAAACAATGTGATGGTGTTTCTACGTAAATAGAGGTTTCTAGTTGTTACTTACAACAAGCTACAACTACGCAAGTGTGACCCATTCAAAGTGATCTGAAAGATTAAGGATAATGCTTATGTATTAGCTTTCACATATTTTATGAATATATTCGATATTTTTAATGTTTTTGGCATTCATAAATATCAAGCAAATGAGGCTCATTATCAAGAGAGAACTCGGGGTTGAGTTCTTTAGAGGTATAGGAGACTGGTGTAGGAAGAGTTTTTAAGTCATTCCTGTTTGTTTCAGGCCCAAAAACAATATTTTAATATTTTTCACAAATTTCAATTTTATTTTATTTTTTATTAAAATCTCATTAGGATTTTTTATTTTTTTATTTTCATTTTAGATTAAAAGTTCATTAAAGTTTTTATTTTCTGTATTTAAACAGTTTTGAATGTGCCCGTCAAGGTTACCTTTGTTTTAATGTTCAATATTTTCTTTATTTAGTGGATTTCAGAGTTTATTTGACAGATTTTGCACTTGCAATCTTGTGTTATCATTCTAAGTTCAACGTTTGTTATTCCTTCATGATTCCGACTGCGTCAATTTGAATCAATTGCTTATGTGCACATTCGAGATCTAAAGATAAAGAAATTTAATAATAAGGGAAATAAATGTATACTACATGGCGTGAGTGAAAAATGTAAGGTTTTTCGTGTTTATAATCCTGCAATAATAAGGTTTTGGTTTTCAAAGATGTGGTGTTTGATGAAAACAACCACTAGAATTGGAAAATCCCGACAAAGGAAAACCAACAGCTCTTGAACTAGATGATGATAAAAGTGAATAAGCATAAGAGGATGGACACGTGATTGGGAAAAATCAAATGAACTTGGATGATTACTTGTTGGATGGATGATTAGACAAGTGGTGAAGAGTTCTTTTAGAGGTGACAATAGGATCCATTAAGACAAAATCTATCCATTAAAAAATTCATCCAATTCATCCACCACATAAAAAATAAGTTAATGGATTGGATTAAATTCATCCATTTATATGCATGGATGGATTCAATCCATCCAACATATTTTAAGAATCCAATGGATTATTTTTGTTATATTATTTTTTAAAAAAAATTAAAAATAGATTTTTTAAAATCTAATTAAAAATAAATTTTTTAAAAGAAAAAAATTGTTTTTTTTCAATAAAAAAATTGTAATTTTTTCAAAAAAAGAAGATCGATTTTTTTTGTGAAAAAAAAGTCTGCTTTTTTTTTCTGAAAAAAAAATCGGTTTTTTTTTTGTGTGAAAAATCAATTTTTTTTTCCAAAATAAAAAACTGATTTGTTTTTCGAAAAAAAATCGATTTAAAAAAAAATGGTTTTTAAAGGAAAAAACAATTTTTTTTCAAAACAAAAAACCAATTTTTTTTAATAAAAAAAAATTTCCCGAAAAAAAGACCGACTTTTTTAAAATACAAAAAATCGACTTCAAATTTTTTTTTAAATACAAAAAATGAATTTTTCAAAAATAAAATCAAATCAAATTTTAAAAATAAAAAATTTATTTATTCTTACAAAATAAAAATAAAAGTTGGATTGATGGATATTCATCCATTTAAAATATGTTAATGAATGGATTGGATGGATTAGATTGGATAATTTTAAGAAAATTTTAGTGGATTGTTAATGGACTAATGGATTGTTTTAATCCATCCATTAACAATCCAATCCACAACCATTCAATTCATCTATTTTGCCACCCCTAAATTCTTTGATGAAGAGAAATTGACTCATTTTTCCTTACTTGCCGGAAGTGATAATATTGCATTTGATGAGACATTTAAAAGTTCAAAATGGAGAAAAGTTATGGATATATAAATTGAAGCAGTTAAGAAAAACAATGGATGAGAAATAGTGGAACAAGAATTTGTTGATCAACACCTTGGGTATGTAAAGAAGGGAAGCACCCGTATGTTCTATAATTTGAAAAGAGCTTTGTATGGATTGAAATAAGTTCCTTAAGTTTGGTATAATCTAATTGACACCTATTTTATCTAGGATGATTTTCATAAATGTCCTTACCAACACACACTCTACAACAAAGTTGAAACGAGTAATCTTTTAATTGTATGCTTATAGGTGGGTGATTTGATATTTACTGATGAAAACTTATTTAAAAAATTTAAGTAATCCATGATGAAAGAATTTGAGATGATGGATTTGGAAATGATGAAATACTTTCTTGACATAAGTGGTTCAATCTATAGGCGAATTTTTCATTTGTCAAAAGAAATATTAGATAGTGAAAATAATTTAAATGGATGGTTTCAATTCAATTCAGATGCATATGGTTCCCGGAACTAAACTTAAACTTAATCGAGATGTTGACGAAATAAAGATTGACAACACTTATTATAAACAGATGGTTGAAAGTCTAATGTTTATGATAACCGACTGGTTTGTTCTATAAGAAGGTTTGAAGGAAAGAGATAGTTAATTATAGTGAGATACTAACGCAAAAGTCAATACATATGGGTCTTACGTAGAGCTATTGTTTAATGGTCTACAAAGAAATAACATATTGTCACTTTATCCATGACTAAAATATAATTTATAGCAAAAAAATTAAGAGTAATCAAGATAGAATTAGCAAATCATAATATCATTTTCTTCGTAATCTAACTAAAAACATTAGAATTTGGTCAAGTCATTCTTACTAAACCAAATTGTAAAATAAAGTGTCATTTTATATAAACTCTTTCAATGTTTTATCTTTCAATATTTATCTGTAATCAATATAAAATTTGAGAATTTTCCAATAAAAGAGAAAGTTTTCCACGTCCTAGTTCAAGACTAAATGATCAAGAATAATATTAATAACACTCCCCTTTCTCTAATAACACTCCCCTTTCAACACTCATTTCGTTCATTAGTTAAAATATGAGTATAAAAAATGCTAATAACACTCCTCTTTTAACTCCCTTTCTAACCCTCACTCTTTCATTCCTTCATTAGTTAAAATAAAAGATTCACGCATATTTCAACCAATAAAAAAATAAAAGCTTGAGAGAGTGTTGCTAGCACTCTTATCCCTAAATAACTTTACCGAAGTTTTTCCCATTAAAAAATTAATTCTCATTCCGATAGATTAAGAAAATAGAGATTGCATTAAGATTTCAAGATTTCAGTTCACTCATGGAAGGTCGTAAGTTACCGTTGATACCCAGCAAATATATTTACTTTTGAATAGGATGAAATCATTTTCAATATCATGCAAATAAAGACATCATTATAACACTATTTTTCATAAAAATAATTTATTTTAAAAGTAATAATTATTACACTTGGCCACTGCCCAGTATAATTTTTTAGTGAAACACACCTGCCTAGTAGCTGATAGAAAGTTACTCCACTAACTGGGATATATTTATTACGCAACGGGTAAATAGACTAGATACGGCATGATGTCGGAAGAAAAAGCTCCCAGGATTCCATCATATACAATACCGCAAATATCAATCGGGTAGTCACTGACTAGATACAGCAAATGAAAGAATCAATACTTGTTCGAAGCTATATAACTCCTCATTCTTATTTAAATGATTTATATCAACTCATCCTCTTCGTCTAGCAATGTGAACGAGAAAGGGTGGAACTTGTAACCATCTCCTTCATAAAACTTGTTTTGGTACTCCACCCAGTGAAGCCTCAATGCGTGCAAGAAGGCACTCAGAGTTTCCATGACAAGTAACACTCCAACAGTTGCAAAAATGAAAACAAGGAGACCCACTATCAGGATAATCACATTATTGTACCTGAAATATCAGACGGAACAAATTACAAATCATTTCCCACATTAATTATCCGGACAACAGAAAATGCAGAGAAATTTCTAAACACAACATACCCCCATGCCATAAGCAGAACCTTCTCGTAGAATACACTTGATAACTCTGAATGAGCAAGACTGGTACAAAAAGAAAAACATTAGTAAATGTATAGCTGTGGTTTAGCATATGCATAAAACAAATCTATAGGTAAATAGACAAATAAAAATCGTGAGGTTCCAATCTTGTATCTCTTGTAGGGCTCCAGCATTATTAGTAGAATAGAACAACTGTGCCATTTATAGACATACCTAAGGGCCCACAGACGAAGGTAAGAAGCTGTATTAGATACTGCTCCAAGTACAAATTCTATAGTGTGTATGAGTTGATGTACGAAAATTTCACTGAACTCAAATTCCGCATGACCATGGGAATCATGACTTGATTCCACTTGCAAGCTTTCCTCCGCGTTTGGGAGTGGTGCATAGGAATCATCCCCGTGCCTCTGAATTAACATAAACATTAGATCGAGAGTAAAATGAAAGTTCAAGGAAAAAACAAAACATAATAAAAGCAATCATACAGCTTCATGTTGTTTCTTCAAAATAAAGGGTTTTGGCAACAGCATCCAGGGCACAGCGACACCAGCCAGAAGCAGAAGCACGAGCTAGTAGGAACAGAACAGAGCATGTAAGTATTACTCATAGAAAAATACTCTTAACAAGTTTTTTTTTGGAGGGGATTGGGAGCTAACCAACCTGAAGATTTTTCTGACCCTCAAAGAGTTGGTTCTCGCCCAAATCATCTGTTGGGCTCAGGAACATGTAGATCATTACGTGGTACAAATCAGCTTGAGAACCCGTGCACCACTTCACAATAATAAGGAGGGATAGGTAGCCAAATAGACTGTTAAGAAATATCACCTGGGGGATAAATTGGAACCTGAAAGAGTGAAACATTGAAATAGAAATTATATTCATCAATTTAAAATACGCAAGCAAGTTCATCGTAATAAAACGACTCAGTGATGATTGCAGATGAGAACACCTGCAAAATTGCATGGGAAAATTTTAAAATTTTCAAAACCGTTCAAATACATATTAACTTACCATACATTTACGTGGTTCTTAAAGAACCTTGCATTGGCATAGCTCATTATAATTCCAAGGTTCATTTGAGCAACTCCAAGAAGAATTGACATTTTCATTTTCAAAGAGTTCAGGAATGGTAATTCACTACGTGTACCATGCCATACAGGGTCCACTCCAAAAGGATAAGTGCGACGCGTTTTTATCAGCCCTATTGTGGTAGAATCCCTGCATCAAAAAGTAGGTAAATAAAAGAACAGTGACTAAATCTCTAATAGCATAGAGGATAGTATTGATTTATAAATTAAGGGATTTGATTCACCTGCAAGAAAGGTCACGACACTCATATGCAGAGGGGCCGAAGAGTTCAAATGGAACAGAAAAGAACTCGTTATAGATCAGGCCAGTGTAGATCGAGAAGAGTGACATCATGAAAATAACATAGCGACCCCCAAAAGTCATCTCCGTGATGTCATCAAGCTTCTGCATTCACCCAAAGATTCAATGTTATAAGACAGTTACATACATTCATGAGACATATTTATGCAAGAGGAGCAAAAGTAATACACGACACCCAGCAAACATTGTTGGCGAATTATAAATTGTAATATCAATCTGAAAGCTTTTCACAGTTTATCAAAATTTTAAATCTTCGGGAAAATTGGAAAAATGAAATTATACTCAAGCCTTAGTTGCATTAGAAATAGTTGATGCAGTCCTTTTCACCGATAAGAGGACCAGCAGTTGAGCACTGAATCTTCCTTCACTAAGGAGGGGGTCTAACTTACGCACTAACACGCCAAAAAAAGAAACTTTAGCCTTCCTGTTCTAGGGTAAAACTGTTCACTCTTGATGCCCGGTATTAGAGATATAGAATAGCTAGTCTGTTTTAACTAATCTAGTCATCATCTAGAAGATAACTAACTCTATAAGTTAGTTATCATAGCTGTCTAGATAAGCTGCCACATGTCAGTTTGTAATAGGTATAACCTGCTATAGCAGGTAAACAGTCCCACCTATAAATGCAGCTGTTAATGTTTCTCTCTCTTGTAACTAACTTTTCAATAATGAAAACAGAATTCAGAGAAAATCAAATATCGCTCTATGATTTCTATTTCATGGTCTTGAAAGAAAAAAAGAACCCCAAATGCCATCATCAGTCATTAAACAGCAACATACACATTGGAAAATTTATTAAACTATTATACGTTATGTGCTCTATACTACGCAGACGTTCTACATATTTACAGAAATATTGGTTAATAAAGACCACATTAACACAAATGAGGCTACATGAGCTTTTTCATTAATAAACAAGGTAATGTTTCTAGGAATGTCAATTGAACTCAGACCAGCTTAAATGGGTCTGCTGGGTTTAACCCACCTAAAATTTTTGGGCACAGCCGTAGGCTTAGTTAATAGGTCGATTCTGTTTTATATATAATTAGGATTTTAAAGTATTTTGCACATTTTTGGAGTTGCATGAGATGTTAAACTACTACAAATTTGAACAAAAATGCATAGTTAATTGTTTTAAAAAAAAAAAAGACATGTTAAGGGAAAATATACTCCATTTAACAAAATATGTGTAACAGATCTCCGAGGGTCTTGATCCAAATCAAGGTTCTTTTCTTAAATGTGAGAATGGAAACAAGTAATTTAGAGTACACTATACAAATCCTGCCCACTGTCCTCCCTGAATGTTTCAAGATATACACTCGCCATGCAAAGCACAAAAGATGCTCGTATATATTCTAGAAAGGCGGAGATAGTCTACCTAATTTTCTTCATTGAAGTGCAAAATCTTGCCTTTTGTATGTTTTTAAAAGGATGGATTTACAATACAAACTAAAAGAGTACCTGGCTAGAAAGTTTCTTCTCCCTGATTATGAAATATAGAGCGGCCAGTAGTAAACATATTCCATGCCCCCAATCACCAAACATTACAGCGAAAAGAAACGGAAAGGTAACTACAGTAAACACAGTAGGATTTGCCTCTTGATATTTAGCAACCCTGAAATGTTCATATAAAAAAATTCAAAACATAAGATGCATGTCTCTCAAAAGCAGAAGTAAAAACAAATTCATTATTTGTTAAGATAATTGCACCATCCCCTAGCTCAATGCTAAAACAGTGGTATTGATGACGACCTCCAAGAAGCTCAAAGACAACAAGAGAGTGTAATTATTAGAAGTAAAGCTAAGAGACTCCGAATGGAGATGGAAGGAAAGTTGATACTTTGTTGGATGTGAAACTTGTTGAAGAGTCCAATGAAATACTTACAATGGGATAGATAACCAACATTAGTAGTGCAAGGGTAAGGATCCCATCTCACAGTATTATTTATTGTAGGAGAACAATGAAAATGGATGACTGCAAAAATGACTTGATCTACCCATACGCTAATCATGACCACCAGCTATAAACATCATTTTTGTACTATAAGAAAATACACCCATTGTCTTGTTTGGTGGAGAACATAGGATACGAATAAATAAGGTAATAGAGTCGGATAACAGCCTAATAAGACATACTCCCTTCGGTTACAATTTTAAGAAAAAATAACTACTTTCACACTAATTAAGAAAGTTAGTTAAGTGTAGTTAATTTTCTTGATTTCATGTACAATCAAAGTAAAATTTACTATAATATCCTTGGTTATATTTGATGAATCAACTACCAACATTAAATGCAGTTGAATTAATCAGGGGTATACTAATAATACAATCATTAAATAATTTGAAAGTTAATTTTTATTTATAATGACCAAGATTTAAGGTCACATTTTTGCTTATAATAGTGTGACCGGGTGTAGTAAGCCTTGTAATATTTAGTGGTAGTCAAGGTGCACGGAAAGTGGTGGCATGTCAACCAGTGGAGGCCGGAGAGTATCAGCGGCAACGACAATAAGGTTTTGAGCAGGTTTAGAGAGGAGTGAAGCAGTGGTAGTGGTGTTGAGCAGAAAAGGAGGTGGAGGCAGGGGAAGGTCTCACAACTTGTGCCTTTGCTAATTGCTATCGTACCCTTCCTATTTCTAACCCATTTCCGTTCATAGGATAAACTTACACTAACAAGTAGGATAAGATAAACCAATGTTATCACCAAAAAAAACAGGATAAGATAAGCCAATGGGATAGTCGAATCATATCATATTGGCTCAACAAACGATTGATATAATACGATAAGGTAGTATATTATATTCTATCGTACTTATCATGGCCACCAAATGAGTCCTATATACCAGCACAAACAACTTAGAGGGAAAACATATTACATAAATGTGATCGTGCAAACAATATGTATGTTGCACTGCATATATTACATAATAAATAAGTATGCTGTACGTCTCCTGTTTCCACAAGCACAATACAGATAAAGGGAAAAGAAATAAGTACAATACTCACCCGTATGAGTCTATAATTCCTTGATACGAAGACGTAAACTTGTTTGTGCGAAAGTAGGTAGGTGGCAACTCTCTGGTATGCAAAACTTGCAAAATGGCACTGACTTGGGAGTTAGAGTCCTTTGAAGCCCGCTGTAATGCATCCTGGACCTGAAATATCAAGGAAACATGCTTACTAAATTCATTTTGTAGTAACCATATTGGCAGTATTACCATTGGCTAGAGAATGAAAAACAATTATAAAACAATGGAACACGGGTACCACAAATACCTGCTTTGTTGCAAAAACGGGACTCCACCCTTCAGCCACTAGACATTTTTTCGTCACATCAAGGCTTAGCATGTTCAGGGTATGGTGGATGGATTTCTCCTTCCTCACCTTCACGAGTTTGAAGAAATGTGGTCAAGATTCAAGAGAAAATAATCATTAGAAGAAAAATATTAATCTACAAATAGTTTGCACTCCCTCCATCCCACAATGACTGTCACATTTGTACCCAAAAAAATAAAAAGTCCCAAAATGAATGTCATTTTCAGTTTTCAGTAAAAACTTAATTCCCCATCCCCAATTGTACCCTCTAATTAATAACTAATAATTTAACACTATTTGCATCACTCCCAAATGATTAAGTTCTACTTTATATTTATAATAATGGTGAATACAGTAATGCGATAAATAGAAAAAACTACCATTCTATTTCTTTTGTTTATAACATTTTCTTAATTGGTGTGAAAGAAGTCAGTGTAACACGCATTGTGAGACAGACTATATTGGAGGATAAACATTAACAATTAATAAATAAAAAAGTGATGTAAAGGTAGCCGGTTAGACTATGTTCATCAGGTGCATAACACAGGATATTGTTAGTTTATGTTTTGACAAACCAAAAGATTCCATTGCTCGAATTGAGTCCCAAGATTTTCCAGCAAGTTAACTCGGTGCAAAAGCCCCGCATCTATGGTGGTCTTCAATTCTGCAAGCCTTCCAGAAACCTGCAGGTCCATTAGTTTAAAACTGTTTAGTCATATAGCCGAAGTTATAAAGTTGCAGAAATTAATAAAGGACAAGACATCTTATAAATAAAACATAAGCAACTTTGCTAGATTAATGTCATTATTACATATAACAAACTGAAAAGATAATGCTCCCTGCAAGCAACTATATTGATTATTAGTATTTTCAAACAATCTCTTTCACTGATATGAATCATTTAAAGAACACAATCAGAGCAATGCAACTGTGAAGGAGGAAATATCTAAGTACTACAATCAGTCTATCAGAAATTGCTCAGACTAATTCGGCACATTCAACTAACATTTAAAGAACACAATCAAAAACAAAAAAGGTAGTCTGTGTAAACAACACAATCAAAAACACATTACAAGTACTCGGTATTCACAGTAAGCAAGGACAGTTATGAAGACATATTTAAGGAAATAATTCTTAACAGTTATGCAATTATGCACCCACGTAATATTTAACAGTTAAGGAAGGTGTCTCAAAAAACTTAGAACTGAGCCCATTCTCTCCTGGCCCCTCTAGGGCCACAGTTGAGGCTAATGCTCAGTTCTACAAGAGTAGTTTTTAGTTTATTTTCATGTGCTTATGCAAGGGAACGCTGCTGCCAATCTCTAATGTCAAGGTCAAATATTACTAAACCATATTCCCCACTCCCACAAATAAAAACTAATGACAGGCTTGTCCATACTTAACCTAAGAATTTATATCCATTTGGTTCCAAGCAATTGATTTGTATGTACTGCTGTAAACTAGTAAAGCGGAAGCTTGAGATAAAAAGTCAGGGTAACATGAAGGCGGATAAAGAAGCTTTTCTTCAATAAAAATAACAATCAATATGCATACCTCTGTAATCATTTGAGCTTGTTTTCCAAGTTCCTCAGCAAACGGGTATCGATTGGCACCAAAGGCATCACAGATTTTCAGAATCTTGGCTTTCACTTTTTCACCGGCATAGAAGACGACAAAAACATTTTTCTCAGTCTGCAGGTTAGCATCCATAAGTGAGCAACGAATAGAACACAAAACTGGATATTATAATTCAACAGGCAAAATTTTGTTCAAAAGAAAATGCAAATCCTCACTATGTTTTAATAGAAAACACAAATGTATAGGTACAGTGCTGACAAATATTAGATGCATAATTTAGAAAATCAAATAGCTAGAATCATATAATAGATGGAGAGGTTATCACTCAATGATGACCTCCATACCAATTTTCAACTCCAACAGGCCCAACAAACAGGTATGCATATCATTTTGGTTTGAACTAGTTGAGCTAAGGGTTAAAGGAGTTGGAGGTCCAGGATTCAAATTCCTGACAAAGGTGTAAATAAAATACTAACTACTAACAATGTGCCATATAAAAAAGGACTTGATTTCTGATTCATTTTTCAACTGATACTTCAAAATTAACAGAGTAATCAGTTAATAAAAGGGCATGGCAAGCTGTGATATACGTGTGTACAATATGTCATCGATAGAAAACATCAGCCAACAAACCAAACAAACTAGACCACAAAAGCCTTGTATTTGGTCTGTTTTATGAAATGATATATGATAGCATCCATCATGGATACAAACTAAAATTATCACCATTGAATGCATCCAAACTAACTTGCTTCTTGACAAAATTTCAATCTAGTCTACATAAGAGCTATAATGAAAGCAAAAATATATGAACGTTAAACATGGTCTGCAACAGCAGATCTCGTTGTTACATACTATATTTTTTAGACAAGGAGAACACAAGTAAGAACCTTTTCTCCAGAAACAGGGTCTGTAACCGGATCCTCAACAGCAGTCTGCCTCAAAAATACATTGCCTCTAGTAGCACGAAATAAAATTCTCTCAAATGCCATGGACTTTTCCCTGGGAACAAGACCTGCTAAAAATCCCAACTTAACTGCCTTTGATGAATCACCTGATAATTCCTTTACAACAAAACAAATTGCAGGATTAGATTCATTAAATGAAGGTTGTCCAACATTATACGAGAATAAAGTTAGATATGAGCCAGGTAAGATATCTACTTGGTCCTGTAATAAAGGTACTTCCATAGAATCCCCACTCAGATTGCGTGATTCATATTCTCTCTGCTGCTCTATGGCACGGCTTTGAGCTGAGTGGAAAAAGTCACCAGCCTGAAAAGGGGGAACAGCTATTCATTGATTAACCAGCCATAGTTAAGATTATATATCTAAAAGACAGATTTTCTATAAACTGACAAGTATGCAATATCAATTAAACCATATCCACTTCTTAAATTTGGAGTGGATATATTAATCTATAGCATTCAGAGAAGAATTGAGAATAATTATTAATCTAATAGAGATTTGACAGCACCCAAATCAATATACAGAAACAATCAGGTAGACCCAACCAAATTATGTTATAATCATTATTCACTCTTTAGTAAGTTATGTCTCTTAGCTTGCAGAAATACATGCACTGGCACATTGTCAACTCGGCTTTGCCTTCTATCAGTCCTAGCTTCAGACAACCATGCAACAACTACTTAAGTGAAATTTATCCTCAGCGCAACAATTTAAACAAGGATTAGGAAAATAGTTAGTTAAAAAACCCACAAGCAAGCACATGGAAATAAATTGAGTTTGAATTAGGACTACAAAGGGCGGAAGAAAAATATGTTTGAAAGTGTCTCAGTTGAGAATATTTGATTTTGGTTAATTTCAACAAAATAAATAGAGCCTTGGTACACCAAATGAAATTGCTCATATGTGATTGGGAGGTCATAGATTTGACTTGTGAAAATGGCCTTTACTAAAAACCCACACTGACATCGATCCTTCATTGGACCCCACCATGGCACGGGCTTTATAGCACCAGGTTGCCCTTTCATTTTAAAAATACCCTTTCAAGGGAATGTCTCTTTCTGCAGCATTTTTGTTATAAGCATTCTGGATACAAAGTAAGACAATCTAAGCACACAGTGGGCGAAAGTGAAAGACATTCTAGTTCGACAATACAGAGATATACTGATAAACATTCTCAATTTTCTAATGTAATTGAAGAAAAGTAATTAAATCACTTTTTCTGTTATTTTCCATGAATATACATCTTGAAAGGTCCCAGTAAAAATCCGGGCCACTTAAAAGAACAATTAGACTAAATGCATGAAGCAGCAGATAATTATCACTGCTCTCACTTTATTATGCATACTCTTTGAATAAAAGACACATAATAGTTTATGGCATAAGTAGAGAATTAACTGTACCTTCTGCAGAACAAGCTTATACTCAACAAGTTCATTGTATGTGCGTTGCAACTTTTCACCATTTGCATTCATCTCAGTTAACTCGGACTCAATTTCTGAAAGTTTTATCTGTTACAAGCACATGATATGTCAACTTCCAAAATAAATTAAGAGGAAAACAACCTTGTCAATAATTGTATTCACATACCTCAAGGTCATCGATGTTCACATCAAACTGTGTTGTGGAACCTTTTGGTGAAACACCTGCCTTAAACATTTGCTCCTTGAAGAAACGCAATTTACGAGCCATCTCTCCACATCTTTTTATCTTCACAAGGACCAAATTTATCCCCCAAACATATTTAGAAGCAAAATATCAGTATCTTTTTGAAAAAAACAAAAATTTACAAAAATATAGAGAAAAAATCCAATAAGTTTGGAGGACAGCAAATCCTCCATATTGGAAGAACAAATCACAACATCAATCATACATGAATATGCAGCAAAACTTATGCTATATATCAGATAGTTCCAAACAAAATTTCTTAAAAATACAAGTTATGCTCCAAAGTCCAACCATACATGAATATGCAGCAAAAGCAAAACCTCAAATTTTAGTAATGTGAAAGAGATAATAACTCCAACGAAAAAACTCTACAAGCTGTCCACAATCCATTAACCAGGATCCCTCTTCTATAATAAAATGGCATGATAAAGTGTGCAGTGTAAAGACAAACTGGAATGACATTTTCAAATAACAAGACTCTGCACAAAACCTGACAGAAAAATTCAGAACATTTTCACATATAGAGTCATCATGAATCAAGTGGTTACTAATTCACCTCCAAAAGGTTTTGAGAGGCGGCAAGATGACATGTAGTGCAGACAAGGCCAGCAATAATCAATACGCATTATTTATTATCATTATCACTTAAAACATCCCCATAAGAAAAGCATTATATTCAGGTTCCAGAAGCTAGCAAAAGAAAAAAGTGACTTATGATAGCAGAAAACAAACGCACCTGAGTTGCATAAGTTCGTTGAAAGGGGCTCTTCTCTGAATTGAGCTGAAAATATCAAAAGAAAGAACACATTACGCTTAGAAAAACCTCTCAAACAAGCTCATCATCATGCTTCAATTTTGAGAAATTAGGAAACAAGAACACATAATTGGTTGCTGGAAAATTCATGCTTGCATTATCTGTTCTAAGAATACAAAACATAAACCTAACAAAAAAAATTATTAAAAAAAAAAAGTGCAATAACAGTATGATGCGAAATTGAGATCTCCTAATACGAAAATTCTATGATCAAAGACTATTCCGGCGTCAATTTACAAAACACCGCGATGAAGTTCAATAAATTAATCAATTCTCATCAAAAACATAATAATTAAGTTTTCGAATACACCAATTAAGTACGACAGTGCAGCGTTTGAACTCGTTAACGTGAAATACAAGTTGCAGCTTAATTAGATCAAACTAAGCAAATTAACAATCTCAAACGATCAATCAAAATAGTAGCAATAAACACAAGTATGAACCCTGATCACAAGCGAGTAACAAAAAAAACGAAAACGAAGTAAGGAAAGGTTTATTGAGAAAGAAATTGAGGAACAGATGAATACTAACGTCTTTAAACTGAAGAAGGCCAAGGTCACCAAGGTAGGAAACAGTGCAGTGAGCGGATTCGATGGGAATGATGAGCTGAATCAGTTGCATCGGCTCTGAACGGAACAGATCCATCGGAGGACAACAACCTCCACGCGCTGCCTCTCCCATTCTTTCCGCGGCGAATTCGATTGATTCAGATAAGACGGAGAGTCGAAGCGAACACCGATCTCAGTCTCAACTACGGCCGCAGAGGAAGTTTCTCCTTCTCTCCTTCTTTCTCTCTCTAATCTCTATTATTTTTCCCTTCGTTTGTTGATCAGATTGATTCAATTTTGATTTTTTTCCAGTTAACAATATTGTTTTATCAATATAAATAATAATAATAACAATACTGTTTCTTTTTTTTCTTTTTTTTCTAGGGTACGTGTTCATTGTATGGTATTTTTTATAATAATAACAATACTGTTTTAGTTTGTTTTTTTTTTCTAGGGTACGTGTTCATTGTATGGTATTTTTTTTAAAAGGTATTTTGACCATATATATTTTTGAAATTAAATTATATGTATTCTTTAAATAAAAATATCTTTTAAAGTAAAAAAAATACATTTTTTTAATAAAATAATTATTATTATTAAAAATTCACGTGAAAAATGTCAGTGTATCAAAGTTAAGATTTCTAGACAATTTTAACATAACTTTTATGCTAAAAAATTATGCACACAATAGAGTATTTAATTTTAATGTATTGCCAATTTTTTTTCTTCATTTTTTACATAGACTACCGTAATGACGAGCATGTTTCTTTATTTATATATATATATATATATATATATATATATATATATATATATATATATATATATATATATATATATATATATATATATATATATATATATATATATATATATATATATATATATATATATAAAGATAATTTATTTTGTCATGATCAAATATGTTTTATGAATAAAATTAAAATAAATTTATTTTATAATGTTTAATAATATATTGTGAATGGTGAAAAAGTTGGTTTAGTTCGTAAATTTATTTATTTATTTAATTATTTAATAATATAAAAAAATTATTAAAATGAAATATTTGTGAGAGTTTTAAATACGGGTGATTTTAAGGGTTTAAGATGACGTTGCTGAAAAAGTTTGTTGTAATGTAGATTCGAAAATTACTATCTAAGTCTGATTTTAGATGGGCTTTGAGGTATCCGGTCTTGAACAGACTTTTTTAATAAAAAATTAAAATAAAAATTCTATAATATTTATTAGGGTTAAATATGTTTTTATAAGTTAGTAATAAGGAATTTGCATTATAGGAGGGCTGACATGGCATCCAAATGAACTAAAATTTAGTTCTCATTATCTATATAGTTAACATTAACTATGTCAAACCTATTATAATATTATTTAATATTAATAAAATATTTTAAATATTCCAACAACATTAAATTAAATATTTCAACAACATTAAAGTAAGAATATGATATTTGAAAATAGTAATGGTCATATTATCATTTTTTACCTTCTATAAATTCTATAGAAATTTTAATTTTTTTTACACACAGTTTTACTTCTAAATTTTTTTCTTTCAATTTCCAATCTTATTTATTTATTAAACGGATTCCAATCAATCGAATCCTTATTATAATTATATTCCTATGAAAAATGTAATTTTTTTATGTATTATTGTTGTGAATTTTATATGTATTATTTTTAAGATGTAATTTTTGTATTATTTTTATGTATTATAGCTTACTTCTAATTTTTTTTACACACACTATTACTTTTATGTATTCCTATGAAAAATTTAATATTATTTTTAAGTTTTTAAGGTAAATTTTATTTAAAAAATTATATGTATTTTAATTAAAATAATTAAATTAATGGTAACTTGAATAAAAAATATAAAATGTGGGGTCAAGTTTTGGTTTCTTATAGACAACCACCGTTAAAGTAAAAACTACTCAAATCAACTATAAATTTTTTAAATCCTACAAATCACTTTGGGCCCACAAAAAGTATCTTAGTTTACCTATTTAGTTTACTCTCACTAAAGATGCTCTTAGTATGTTAACTTTCAAGTTTAGTCTTTCTAAAAAAATTTTTCAAATAATGGTACTCACAAAGTTTTTTATCCCCAGGGTTTTCTAGTAACGGAGGCTTATGTGGCATGCCAAGTGTAAAATTTTATCTTGTTACATGTGATGTGTAAAATGTCAATTTGCCACAGTGTAAAATGTCAATTTGCCACAGTGGAAATGTTGATAACATAATCTTCTTAACTGGTAAAAATGAAACACGACACAAACACTTCACTTCAATAGTGTCCCCTAGCAAAAGTTTGCATAGTTGTTATCTTGGAGGTACGCTTTGGTCAAGGAACAAGGAACAAGTCTTCGCTTTATTCAAAGAAGAAATCTTGGTTTGCAGTGGTCCCAAAAACAACTTCGTGAGGTGAAGTATATGCTTTTAGTGGTCAAGATCTTGATTACTGGTCTTTCTTTGAAGCATGTGACCTAGTTAAGTTTATTGAATTTAAGTTTGATATAGGTTGTGTTAAGATGTGGTGGAAACATGATGAAGGATCCTTTAAACAACACTTAAAACCATCTAGGAATGATGGAGATGAATATGAGTTAAACATGTATGCTATAGGAAATAAGTGTGAGGTTGAGATATTATGTGAGACTAAAGTTACAGGAGAGGATACCTTTATGGATAGGTTTAGAGAAGGGAAAGGGAATCAAATATGATGAATATGGTGACAGGTTTAGTGAAGTTAGTGATGAATATGTGAGGGGTGTTCACTTTGATAATAGTGAGGAGGAGAGAATGAAATGGTTTGAGATAATGGAGTTGATGGAGAACCAAAAATGAACATGTTGCAAATGATGAGGGTATTGCTCATGTATACAAGAAGATTTTTATAACGGAATAGATAGGTAAGGAACATGTTATTGAAGATTCATATATGACTTATGAACTGGACAGTGGTGGTGATGATGACAGCTGTGATGAAAGACCATGTGTAATCAGATTTAGTCAAGAAGATTATTTAAGTAAGGGTTTTGTTTTCAAGGTTGGAATGTAGTTTTATTTTTTGAGGCAATTTAAAGATATTATGTTAGAGTATAATGTTTTGAATGGTAGGGATGTTAAGTTTGAAAAAAATGAATGCTAATAGATGTAAGGTGGTAAGTAAGGACAATAAAAAATGTAACTATACAGTCTTGTGTAGTAGAATTTTAACCTCCGCCACATTTAGGATTAAAACTTTGTTTGCAAAGCATAAATGTGAAAGACAATTCTTCAACAACAATGGCTAAAGCAGAGTGGGCGGCCAAGGTCATTGTTGCCGGATTAAATAATAACTCAAGGATAAGGCTAAGTGAGGTGGTAGCAGATGTTAGACAAAGGTATGCCACAAAAATTGCAAGATGTAGAGCATCCAAGGCAATACAGATTGCAAGACACATTATTGAAGGAGATTCTAGCAAACAGTTTAGCCTTTTATGGTCTTATGTTGTTGAGTTAAAAAGGGCTTCGGCTGGTAACACTTTCAAAATCAACACTAGTGTTCCTAGTCCTGGTTTGAAACTTAGATTTGAGAGGTGTTATATGTGTTTTCATGAGGCCAAGAAAGTTTTGACAAAAGCATACAGACTTTTCATTTGACTAGATGAATGTCATTTAAAACATAAATATGGTGGTATTTTACTTATTGATGTTGGGAGAGACTCTAATGACCAATATTTGCCAATTACCTTTATTGTTGTTGACACTGAAACAAAATAATCATGGAGTTAGTTTATAAAATTCCTTATCGAAGACATAGGAGATAACAGATGGTGTTTCATATCTAACCAACAAAAAGTAAGCTTGAGTTTCATCAAACTTTGTGTTTTTACAATTTTTTATTTTTCCAATCACTTGAATATACTGATGCAATTGTCATATCTTGGTTTAGGAACTAGTTCAGGTTTTTGAAGAGGAGTATATGAACACAAGTTCTGTTTAAGGCACTTATATGCTAACTTCAAAAAAAAGTTTGGAGGAGGAACTTTGTTTAGAAATCTTATGATGACTGCTACAAAGGCAACCTATTTTGAGGCACATGAGGAAACGATGTTTATGATCAAGGAGGCGGTTTGAAGGCTTATGAGTGTTTAGAGGTCATTCCCAAAATAAAGCGGTGTAAGCATACAATAACTTGAGTGAGTCTTTTAATGCAACAATTCTTTTACAAAGAGACAAACCAATCATAACCATGTTTGAGTGAACTAGGAATTATCTAATAGGAAGATTTGTAACCCTTAGAGAAAAGGTAGATGGTTATAGAGGGCAGATAATGACAAAACTATTAAGGAGGTTAGATAGAGATTGAAAAAGGTGTTAGTTGGACAACAACTTCAGCTGGTAGATTAACCTTTCAAGTCACGTATGTATTGTTTATAGCTTTGTAATGGATTTGAAAAGATAAACATGCTCCTGCAACTATTGGGAACTTGTTGGGATTCCATGTAGACATGGTGTGGCTGCCATACATAGGAAAGTGGGTGATCCAGTAAAATATGTGCATAAGTGTTATCACAAAAGCACATACGAAAAATGTTACAGTGAAGTGATCACCCCATTGAATGGCCATAACAAATGGCCTAGAACACCTGATGAAACTATGTTGCCCCCTTTATTCAAACGTATCTTAGGGAAGCCCAAGAAACATAGAAGGAGATAGCCAGATGAAGTGAACCAAACAAAATGGCATAGAACAAATACAAACCATAGGTGCAAAACTTGTTTTGAACTAGGCCACAACAAAAGGACCTGCAAGAAGTACAAGCAAATTGTGTTTGTTCTCTCTGGAAATACCACCCAGGCCAGTCAGGGGATGCCCAACCAGCCCAGTCAAGGGATACCCACCCAGGCCGGTCAAGGGATGCCCATCTAGGCCAGTAAAGACTTACCTACACAAGTATCTCAAGAGATGCCTACACAATCAAGTCAGACTAGCAAAGTTAATTTGGCACCCAAAAAAAAAGGGTAATGTTTAACTTAAAATTTGTGCTTGTATGTAATTAATTATAAGACCACGTGACAATGTTAATGTTGTGCTTATTTCATTCAGGGGAGGCCTGAGGGATCTACCAACAATTG